CACGCTTTAGAGTGCCAGCAGTCCCTTGTAAGGGGTGATTGATCCTGGTTTGGTGGCAAGGCTGCCCTGGAGAGAGGGAAACAGTGCTTGAGAGCTCATTAGTGCTGTCCAGCACATAATTTGTGGCAGGCATCGCCCTTTCCTCACACACTGGTGTGCAGAGGTGCTTGTCCAGGACAGGACGTCCAGTTATTGAGGTGTCAGTGTTATTGTTGATGATGATAAAATGTCTGTAGAGGAGGTGACTGTAGCAGTGACTCAGACCCTGCTGTTACAGTTTTTGTGCTGTAAAAAGGCAGGACGAGCCCCTGTGTAACTCCTGCTCACCAGTGGGGTTGGGGAATTCCCTTGTGGGTTGGTTTATAAAGCATTAAGTCCTCCAATCCTTACAGCAGTTGGATTTCTCCTGGTTATTTGTGTGCACATGTAATCAGTGTAAATCTCAGGGTCTGTTTTCCAAACACAAAAGGTCACTGTTGTGTCTCCCATCTGTGCCTGTCCCTGGACCTTGCTCATTTGAACTCTGTTGTTCACTGGTGGTGGGATCATCTCAACTTTTCCTAGGGTGTTTGGGAAGGACGCTCAGGGTTGCAAGTGAAACACACCCACTGCCTCTGGAAGGACTGGAAAATCTCCCTGGCTCCTGGTGAGGAGCTGCTGAAATGGCTGAGGATTTTACTGATTTCTATAGTGACTGTTGCCTTGGCAGCAAAGCTTAGAGAGTAAAAGGAAGGCGAGATTTGATTTGGGAGGACTTTGGTTTTCTTCAGTCGAGTTTCAAAGTGTTTAAGGAGGAGTTTGGAGGTGGGCAGACTGGTTTTGGGGGTCTTTTTTTTGCTGCTGAATGTGTTTTTCTCTTATCGGTATTAACTGCAAGACTTAATGCTTTTTACTTGCAAGAACACCCCAAACCTGGGTCTTGTTCTCAGCCCCTCCCAGGGCCTAAAGGGGCTCCAGGAGAGCTGGAGAGGGACTGGTACAAGGGATGGAGAGACAAAACAAGGGGGAATGGCTTCCCACTGCCAGAGGGTAGGGAGAGATGGGATATTGAGAAAGAATTGTTCCCTGTGAGGGTGGTGAGGCCCTGCACAGATTGCCCAGAGAAGCTGTGGCTGCCCCTGGATCCCTGGAAGTGTCCAAGGCCAGGTTGGACGGGGCTTGGAGCAACCTGGGCTAGTGGAAGGTGTCCCTGCCCATGGCAGGGGTTGGAACAAGATGATGTCTAAGGTCCCTTCCAACCCAAACCACTCCATGATTCTAAGTGTGGAGGTGTAACCAGCTGATGATTTTGTGGCTGATTATCTCGCCCTTTAACCAATGAGTTGGTCGCTCCCACACTCAGCCCTTGTGCCCAACAGCACCTCTGCAAAGCAGTGCAAAAGAGAACAGGTCTTGATAGCCAAGGTTGTGTATAGTTAGTGCCCTCTCAAATCCTTGTTCCAGCTGCCGTGGTCATGGGGTTAGAACCACAGACGTGCAGATTGAAGTGGTAGTGGCAATTACTCCTGATGTTTTGAGTTAGCACTTGAGTGTTTGCTGGGAACAAGGGGGGAAAAAGGTCATGTAAACAGGAGGAGGTGGGACCTGGAGCCCTTGATGAGGTTGTTTCATCCTGCCGGGTCTTGTGCCGGGTATTTTGAGATACCGGTTTTACACGGCATCATTATCATAGTGCAGTTGGCATTATTGTGGTAATCACATTGTTATTTATAATTCCTTAATGAAGCAGCTCTGCTGCAGATGGAGGGAGTGTGTCAGTGGCCTGGCCCAACCTAAAGAGCTCATGTCAGAGCTGGGGAGGCTTGTGTGTGCCCGTCCTTGTGGGATGGAGCTGAGCCCATGGACGTGGCCTGGCAGCAGCCGATGCTGGTCCTGACCTTTTGTGGAGAGGATGAGACCTTTTGTGGCAACAGGGGGGTCAGTGAGGGTTGTTAGTCTCCTGTATGGTTTCTGCAAACCTTACCTGATCAAGCTGTCACAGATACACCATAGGGAACAAGGAATTTTTAATGTGACAAGCTGGAAGGTGTTTCGTAAAGAAGCTTTTTCGCCTGTTCCTCCTCCATTGGACAGGCTGTGAAACAGAGGCTTGAGTGGTAGGTGATGTTAGAAATTCTAGTTGGTTTTCCTCATTTTAACTCTCAATGAAAACAACTCTGTGGCCTGTGTCCTTGGCACAGAGTATTGTCTTTCCTCTGAGCCTTCCTCCCGTGAGTATCAGTTACTCTGCTTTTACAAAAGGTGCTTGATAGTGATTTACACGCTGGTGGTGTGAGAGCAGCGGGCTGGGATTGCACCTGGCTCGTGCTCCCAGAAATGTCAGCCCTGAGGACTGAACTTTGTGCTCAGTAGCTCCTTGGTGAACCCCTCACCACCCTCTTCCATCCATCTGTCCATCCATCCAGCACGAGGTGGGCTGGATGTCTGTGCCTCTGCCTATGAGATGGGATTTCTTGTTTTTAAGACTCTTAGGAGATAGATTTATGTTTCATAATCCATGAAGTTACAGAAGTTGGAGTCAAGCAGTCTTTATTCTTCATGTGGTACCTTAAATAGCATCGCTGGTGGTGAGTTTAAAACACAGTCCCCAAGTACCACATCCACACATCTTTTAATGCCACCAGGGCTGGACAAGCCTTTCAGTGAAGACATTTTTCCTACTGCCCAGTCCACACCTTTCCTGCCTGTTGAGATGTAGTTTGAAGGTTGGCTACAGGCTCCTAAGCAGTGATGGATGAAGCCCTTTGCCCTGTATCTTTGGGATTGTGAGTCCTTAAGAATGTCGTCAGGGAGTGGACAGAAAGCCAGTTTGTTGGGAGGATAATGGTTCAGGGTTTGCCTGGAAACTGGGATTCAGTCACTCCAGTGATTAGAGTTGAAAAGGTTTAATGTTGCCCCCCCTCGTGGTGTACACAGGGTGCTCTGACAGCCCAAGCCAGGCTGGGTTTGTAACACACAACTTGGAGAGGCAGCAGTGGAGCCGTGGAACAGCATGGGAAGCTGAGGCCCTGCTGCAGACCAGGAGCCCAGGTGTTGTAACAGCATTAAAAAATAAATAACTTAGGTTTTAACAGCATTGTGAGGCATCATCCTTGGAAACAAGAAGCCTGTGGAGAAGTCTGTTAGGATTAGTTGGGAATTTTTGTGCCCTGGGATACCTCAAGTACAGTGAGCACACAGAGATGGGCACAGTGGAGAGCCGAGCTGCTCTCCTTCAGTGCCAGCCTTGTAGGAGCTTCTAATGTGGGTTACCATGCATAATTCAGTCCTGTTTCCATGTTCAGAGCTCTGTAACTAAATACTGATTTGCTAAACACAACTTGAATAATGAAGCAATCTGTGGCTGAAAGCCTTCTTGGTACTGAGGAAAAAAAAGGAAAGAAAATAGAGCTGTATCTTCCCTTCTGTTTTAAAACAACACAGATATTCACAAGGTGGAAGAGTCATCTCCATCCCTGATTTGCTCCACAGATTTAAATATGTCCCAGCAAGGGAGAGGTGCCCTATTCAAAGTACTTCCAGTCCTTCCTCCAGAGCTCTTTTCTCAACTATCATGGTTCATTCCAGGGAAAAACAGGTTGAAAACTGCACCCTGTGTTTCCTGCTGAGTTCAGAGGCAGCAGATCAAAAAACACATTGGTGTGCAGTGTGGTCATGTTTGTACAGGAGTAAAGCTCTGTATCTGTTCTGAACCACCTCACCTCCAATCTTGCCAGTAGAGTAAATTATTTTGGTTTTTCTCAGTCACAGCTTTGCTCTCTGCAATGAAACACAAACACTTGGTAGCCTGTAAGAGGCTAAAAATATTCTTGAAGCTGATAAAGGCTTGATGTGACTTTTCAAAATAAGGTGTTTTTTTTCCCATGCTGTTACTTTCTTTCTCACACGTGGTCTGTGGGATGGCAGGTTGGAGACAGGGGGTTCACTGGTCTCTTCTCTTTGCTCTGGGGAGGACCAGTTTTTGTTGGTTGGTTGAATAAATGTCTCAGACGTGGGGGGTTTGCTGGTGGTGGTCACTGCCATGGGACCACAGCCTCTTTTGCTGCTTGTGCCTCAAAAATTCAGGAAGTAACATCTGTTTTCCTGTACCTTTTGTATTGGAAGTGACCAGCTTCTCTAAGCTATTTTTGTAATTCACTGGGTGTAGAAGTTTCTCACCTAGTTCATCTCTTCTTTTAAAGTTTTATTTTCCTCCTGGTTCCTTTTTTTAGCTGATAAAAAACAATTCTTTGAATTGTAGCACTATACCATGGAAACAGTAAAATCTACCTCAAAGAGCTGCTAAACACCTGCAAAGCTAAATGCTTTATTTTTGGGCTAATCTGTTTGGACACTGATTTTCCTGCTGGTGTTTTGGCCCAGAGAGTAGATCCTTGCATCATTTTTGGGTGTTGATGACCTGGTACATTAGATATGGCACCTGGAAGTGCTCAAGGCCAGGTTGGACAGGACTTGGAGCAAACCTGGTCTAGGGGAAGGTGTCCCTGCCCATGGCAGTGGGTGGGAATGAGGTCTCTAAGGTCCTTTTCAGCCCAAACCATTCTGGGATTTTGTGGTTTTTGCCTTGCAGAACAAAAACCAGGCTTCATGTTCAATCACTAGTGCAAAACATTGCATTAAGGTACTGGTCTGTGAGGGGGAGAAAAGGCTTCTGACATGAATAATACTGAACATTCCCTCTGTAGATCCTTAAATCCATGAGTATGAGGATTGTAAGAGGAGTTTGGATGCTGGTTATGGACCAGAACTGCATAGCAATGGAAAATGCAACAACTACAGAGCAGGCAGGAGTCTTCCCACAGCTGCAAAGTGGTGTTAAAGCTCTTAAGGAATCAGTAGCAAAGCTGGGAAGGACAGTGCTGTGTGTCCAAGGCTGGAGCTCAAATGAGTTGGTCTGTTCCGTGCAGAATCGAGGTGTTCTTCAGGAATTTTGTCTTTGTCCCTGCACTGCCAACAAAACGCTGTCCTAACGAGTTCTTTTGGGTGTTTCCCCTCCCCAGGAAGAAGAATGCCAACACGAATATGAAGTGAAGTGACTCCTATGCTCTGCCACGGCGCCCGGATGCTCCTGTGGGCGGGTTAGAGACAGGCACCCGCCTCCGGCCAGATCCTGGGACAGGATGAAGCCAAGGAGGAGCTTCCCAGCGCTCTGGAGTGGCAGTGAGCGCTGCCCCCTGTGAGATCCATGCCAGACGGTGCCCCGGCTGCCTGGCGAGATGAAAGAGGTGGTGCTGTGGTCACCCGAGGAGGTGACCAGCTGGCTGACGGAGAATGCGGTGCCCGAGTACTGCGAGCCCCTGAGGGGCTTCACCGGGCGGGACCTCATCAACCTGACGGAGGAGGACTTTAAGAGGACGCCTCTGTCCCGGGTGTCTTCCGACAGCGGCCAGCGGCTTTTGCACATGATCGAGACTTTGAAAATGGCTCACCACATGGAGGCTCACAAGAACGGCCACGCCAACGGGCACATCCGCGGCGGCGGCGAGAACGGCTTCGGCAACAAGGCGAAGCTCAACGGGGTGCCAAACGGGTTCAAGAAGGAGATGATAAAGATCCCCATGCCAGAGCCGGAGCGCTCGCAGTACCCCATGGAGTGGGGCAAGACTTTCCTGGCTTTTATTTATGCACTTTCTTGTTTCGTCTTTACCACAGTGACTATCTCAGTCGTCCATGAACGAGTGCCTCCCAAGGAGGTGCAGCCTCCCCTCCCGGATGCATTTTTTGATCGCTTTGATCGGGTGCAATGGGCTTTTTCTATTTGTGAAATCAACGGCATGATCCTTGTAGGACTGTGGTTTGTTCAGTGGCTGCTCTTAAAGTACAAGTAAGTAAAACCTTCAGAAAACTGAGCGCTTCTGACAGCTTTTGGAGGGGAGGTGCTGGTTTACATCCAAGTGAAGTGAAGCTTCTTGTGATCTTCTGATTTGGGTTTCCAAAACTGAAATAGGTACCGTGCAGTGCGAGCTGCTTGTGCAAAAGGCAGAAGTTCGATCCAACTGTTCCCTAAGAAACTAAACAATACCCCTGGTTGTGCTTGTCTGCACAACTAACTGCAGCCCTTTTTATGTGTGAAAAGCCCAGGAACTGGGTGAAATATGTTCTGAACTCAGTTGGTTGTTCTGTTTGTTTAGAAGGAGCACAGCTCACGCTGTTGTGAGGGCAGCTGCGAACCAGGATCTGAGGGAACGGCTGGAGCTGTGCCAGGGCAGGGTCAGGTTGGATCTCAGGGAAAGGTTCTTCTCCCAGAGGATGGTTGGCACTGACCAGGCTCCCCAGGGCAGTAGGCACAGCCCCAAGGCTGCCAGAGCTCCAGGAGGGTTTGGACAACGCTCTGAGGGACAGGGTGGGATTGTTGGGGTGTCCTGAGCAGGGCCAGGAGTTTAACTTGATTATAGTATGGATCCTTTCCAGCTGTGTATATTCTGTGATTTAGTGTCTCTGTGCTTTGCCTGACCTGAAGCCCTACCCTAAAACTCCTGCACAAAAGCAGCAGGTGGGGGATTAGCCTGTGCACCTGAATATTGCTGCATGAAAAAAGCATTGAAGTGCGTTCTCTTCTTGCCGTTGGGTGGGGCAGGTAACATCAAACACAAGGGATGTCCAAAAGCTAATCATAAAATAAGCAAAAGCCTAGATCTGCACTGAATTTGGAAGGTCTCAGTGCTTGTCCCAGCCTCTTGCTCATACTGGTCACAGTTGCAAGGGTGAATTTGCCTTGCAGTGGAATATTAACCTGCCACTTCCCCTCCTCAGAGAGCACGTGGATGTTTAATGCAAGGTATTTATAGAGCTGGAAATGCACACCTTGGGCTGCCTGACCACGAGTGTCTGATGTAAACCCTCGTGCTAAATGAAGTGTTCAAAGTCAGGCAGGTTAAGCAGTAAGAGGTGGCATAACACCTTTCTTTTCCACAGCCAGGCACCAGCACAGCCCCACAGTTGCCCAGAGGGGCTTCTCTTCTTTTCTCCTCTGCTAATACATCTCATTCTCTACCTGTTCACTGACTTTTTGGTGACTTCTATGTAGAAAACTGAGGAGGGAACATAATTTGGGCCCCACCATGTGAAAATACAAGATCCTTCGGTTCACAGGGCTTGGGAATGGCCTTAGAATTAAAGATTTCCCTTTTTGAAAGAAATAAAAGCAGTGGCCAGTGAATCACTTGCCCTTGTAATGGAGCAAAACATTAAAACTTAAACACAAGCAGGTGGTTTACCCATTTAATGAGGTGCAGATGGCTTAAAAGGAGAGAATTTTTAGCCTGGGACAGGATGTGTGACACAGCTGTGGATTCCTGTAGGAATGGGACAGATTAATCCACAAGGCTGAGGTGATGGTTTATTCATCTTTATTTTATCAGGTAAAATTTTAAACTGTTATACACTTCTAAAAGCTCCTTGAAGGGACGTTCTAGCTTCAGTACCACTCTCCTGTTGGTGGGTGCAGTGCTACCAGCTGCATTCCAGCCTCTTCTGCTGCTCCAGCTGCCTGTGGGGAACCATTAATTCCTTGAGGTCTCTGAGCAAAGCCGAGGGAAACACCTGGAGAAGGTGATGTGGGATTGCCCTCAAGAAAGAGGTGTGGGGTTAATGGGTGGTGTGAGGATCAGACACCCTGTGATGGAGCTGAGCAGAGCCTTTAGGGGAAGAACACCAGAATTCTTGAGGTCCATGGAGGTTTTGTAGCAGTGAGGTGTGGGTTGGGTTTGATGGTAAGGTGCATATGTTGGTATCATTGACAGATGTGAAGGTTCCCCCCCTACCCCGTCCCTACTTGCTTTAATGTGTTCCTTTTTACCTGACTTAGAGACACAGAATGGTTTGGGTTGGAAGGGACCTTAAAGATCATCCCATTCCAACCTCCTGCTGTGGGAAACCCCTTTTAGGGGGCTTTTTCTGGTGTTAGGGGGAGGTGTCAGGGAGTCACAGAGCTTTCCATCCCCAGTATCAGCCCTGGAATAGCTGATCAGTGGTGGTCAGTGTGTGGAGTGGTCACACAATGCTCTGTGACACCATTTAATGCATCGTGACACCAAAAATCTTCTATCCGTGAGCAGAGGTATTGAAGTCTGAGAAGGCCAAGCTGTGGCTAAGCAGCATGAGGGGAAGAACAGGAGAGATGCTCCCAGGAACAGGAGGTGGCTTAGAATGGTGAACCACCAAATGGGTGGTGATTTGGGGCTATAGAAAGAACTGAATCACTTCTGTGGTGCGGGTTATCACTTCCCTTTGACACTTAAGTCAAGACCAAAGGGAGTGCATTAGGCCAGATGGACCTTCCTCACTTCTCTGGCCTCTGATGGGTCAGGGTTAAGTTTTTTCCCCCTCTGATGTGAAGGTCAGATGTGCAGCCCTGGCTGCTCCCCTGCTCAGGTGACAGACACCAGTCAGGGATGTCTCCCCTGCAAGCTCAGGGTCACTGGTGAAGCAGCAGCTTTGTGACCTGTGAGTTGAATTGCAACCAGTGGCTGGGTCGAACCTTTCAGGCAGCTTCAGTTTCAGGCTTTTTAAAACACTGTTCTTTGCCAAGCAGTGAAATTCCTGTTGCTTATCCCACCAGATCCATTATTTGCTGATAGTGATTTCATCCAAGCTGAGCCTGCTGTTCTCTCAAGCCATGAAGAAGGACAACAGAGATGTGTCATTCATGATACTCATCACTTAGGTTCTCCTCCTTCAGTCCAGGGATTGCTTGATCCTGTGGGATATGTCCTCTGTGGGACTGCAGAACTGGGGCCAAATTGTGGGGGGGTGTTGGGTGTGTATGTGCAGCTAACCAGGGGTTCCCATGGCCCCTGGGACAGGCACAGGGTGCCCAGAGAAGCTGTGACTGCCCCATCCCTGGAAGTGCCCAAGGCCAGGTTGGAGCACCCTGGACTTGCCCATGGCAAGATGTTCTTTAAGGTGCCTTCCAACCCCAACCATTCTGTGATCCCATGATTCTGAGGCTGTCCCTGGCAGGGAGTTGGGCTGGTTTGTGCCCAGGGAGCAGGAGCAGGACGGGTGTGCAGGTCTGGGCTGGGCACTCGCTACCACGGGCAGCCCCAGGAGTCCGGGCTGGCTGCTGAGGCAGAACAAGCCTCTCTGGGAAGCATTCCCAGATGTTCTGGGAGAAGTACAGCGCTGGATTTTGGCCATGCTTGACATCTGATTCACTCATGGGACTGAGAAAGCAGCGTGTGCACTGGTGAGGTCTGGAGAGTTGGAACAGAGTTGTCTGGGCCGGTAATCACTGGCTCTAAATCACACACGCACACAAATCCTCTGAGGAAGGGGAAATACGAGGCTTTTTACATTCATTTTTTTATATGTATTACAGTACAGAGCACTCTCACATTTCCCCAAGCTGAAATATGCCAAATCCATCTAAATTGAATGGGTTTGTGGGTAATTTTAATTAAAAAGAGAAGTTCAGTGTTCGATAAAATGCTGCCACTTTTTCAGGCTCTTAAAATATGGTGCTGCTCAGTCTTTAGTCCCCAACCCCCCTGTTTGCCTTTATGGTTATAAAGAAAGAAGCAGATTCAAGTAGTAAAAGCCAGGCACAAGTGTGAGACCTTCACTGGATCACCCTTCCAGGAGAAAAATTCTGCAGAGGAGAAAACTCGTCCCAACAGCTTGGTGCCTTCCATGCTTAAATTTCAGTCTGTGGAGCTACATTACTAAGTGTAATTTTTAAATCTAGTCTTTGTCCATGTTTACATCAGAGGAAAGAAGAAAAAAGATGGAATACTGTGTTAGAGCAGTGAGCACTCCAGTGCAAAATGTGTTTACCCTGTAAGAGTTGATGCTTTTCTGATAAATCAAGGCACTCAAGTTGTTATTCATCTGGCACTGCAAAGTCATCCTCCTCCAAGAGTGGAGCTCTCCAGTTTAATAACTCTACCAAAAGCTATTAAAAATTAAAAAGATGGCCAATTTTGAGTTTTGAAAGAGCTCAGCTTGATAGGAATACTATTTTTTTTAAAGTGAACACAATAGCAGCAAAGGAATTGCAGTGCCTGAAGGGAGCCTCCAAGAAAGATGGAGAGTGACTATTTCCAAGGGCCTGGAGTGCCAAGACAAGGGAAAATGGCTTTCCACTGCCAGGGGCAGGGTTAGATGGCATATTGGGAAGAAATTGTTCCCTGTGAGGGTGGGGAGGCCCTGGCACAGGTTGCCCAGGGAAGCTGTGGCTGCCCCTGGATCCCTGGAAGTGTCCAAGGCCAGGTTGGACGGGGCTTGGAGCAACCTGGGCTAGTGGGAGGTGTCCCTGCCCATGGCAAGGGGTGGAACAACATAAGCTTTAACATCCCTTCCAACCCAGACCATTTTGTGATTCCATGAATGCCAGAAGTTGCAGCTTGAGATGACCATAACTGCAAACAATTATTTAAAATCAAGCAAAGCCAGCAGGGTGTGTAGAACACAAAGGGTGGTTAACTGCTGTAATTGGATTTGCCCTCGATTTCTGCAGTCCTGGCAGTGATGTCTCTTTAAGGTCTCTCCAGCAGTTGCTCCGGTCCTGGTGGATGTGCCAGAAGGGCTTTAATTGTTGTAGCTCTTTCCTTGAGGTTTTCTTAGCTGTTACCCAAGGGGCCAGTTTTGGGGCTGGCTATCCCTCCTGAGCCCAAGCTGCCTCGCTTTCCCTCGTGTGCTCTTGCTGGTTTTGCAGAACCAGCTCTCTGTACCCCAAAACTGCATCTGCCCTCCAGGGACTCGCTGGCAGCCCTCAGTAATAAATGTCTTTGCAGCTGTGGCCACTTGCCTGGAGAGTGGCTTCCCCTGCAGACACCCTGTGCTGTGGCCAGGGCAGCTCTGCAGTTGTAGTTTGGATGTTTCCTTGCTGATGTGACTTGCTCCCTTTGTAATGCTGCTCAGGAATGATGTGTTCTCACTCCTTCGGGTTATCCAAGCTCTTTCTTCTCAAGAGCCCCTTTGTCATTACTAAATATGTGTGTCAGCTGAAACAAACTTCCTTCTTTCCATCTTAGAATGAAAATACTGTAACTTTATCCCCTGCCTTGAATAGGAAACTGGTGACAGCCCGCAGCTAATGGAGGAGTTTGGGGCATGAAATCCCTTTTAATGTCTTCAGCACCCAATCTGCACAGGCCTTTGTGTTCTAATCCTTAGATTTCCTGTAATCACCTCCGTGGGTAATGTTACTTGAGTTGCTCTTGTGTTCGTGACCTGGAAGGCGTGGGAAGGTTTGTGGGGCAGTTCAGTGTTCTCAGGTGTAAGCCGATACTGTCACGAGTTCCAAAAGCATCAGAAGAAAACAGTTGGTGGTTTTGTTTTATTTGCCTTTTGCGTATTTTGTTTGCCTTGTGTGACCTCCTTATTTTTATCCTCTTTTTCCCCCCCCCCCTAGGTCTATAATTAGCAGAAGATTTTTCTGTATAGTTGGCACACTATACCTGTACCGGTGTATTACAATGTACGTGACCACGCTCCCAGTACCTGGAATGCATTTCAAGTGTTCTCCAAAGGTAAACTGCTTCTGGCTGCCTTTCCATATTTTAACCTGCGTGTTTCCCACCTGTCCTGCTCTTCCCAAAACCACCAGCAACGCTTTCTCAAGAATTGTTACTAAGGGAGGGGATTCTGCCCCTCTGCTCTGCCCTGGTGAGGCCCCACCTGGAATGCTGTGCACAGTTCTGGTGTTCCCAACATAAAGAAGGACATGGAACTGTTGGAGCAAGTCCAGAGGAGGCCACCAAGTTGCTGAGGGGACTGGAGCACCTCCCCTGTGCAGACAGGCTGGGAGAGCTGGGAATGTTCAGCCTGGAGAGGAGAAGGTTGTGTGGAGACCTCACAGCCCCTTCCAGGGTCTGAAGGGGTACAGGGAAGCTGGAGAGGGGCTGTTCATTGGAACTGAAGTGACAGGATGAGGGGGAATGGCTTCAAACTGAAAGGAAGCAGGTTTAGATTGGATGTTAGGAAGAAATCCTTCCCTGTGAGGGAGGTGAGGCCCTGGCACAGGTTGCCCAGAGAAGCTGTGGCTGCCCCTGGATCCCTGGAAGTGTCCAAGGCCAGGTTGGACGGGGCTTGGAGCAACCTGGGCTAGTGGAAGGTGTCCCTAATCTTTAAGGTTCCTTCCAACCCAAACCATTCTGTGATTCTAATTTGAGAACACTGGTTTGGCCTGGCAGGGACATCCTCCTGCAGATCATTGGCTTCCCTCTTGGTGGAGGTGTTGACAGGTGCTTTGAGGCAGTGCAGTCATTCCCACCCTTTTCAAAATGCTGATTTACACTGCTTCTGTGGCATTTTCAACTAATTTGCAGTATCAGCAATTTTCTGTCTCCACCAAAGCAGTTGAAGGTGTGCAGCCTGCAGGTGTGCCACGTGTGACTCATATATTTCTGACCACCTCAGCGTGTCAAATCCAAATATGATTTGTGTTTGAAAATGGCCCCACGAGGCTTTTCTGAGGCTGGTGGAACTCTGTCTCCTGCATATATATATTTTTGCAGTTGTGGTGGCACAAGGGCTTGTCACCTCCTCCCCAGTGTAGCACTGACTCATGTTTGTTGTGCCAAGAAATAAACTGGGCTTGCAAAAGCTGTGGATGAAACCAGGCTACTGGGACAGAGGTGCTTGGCCAAGACCCTTCTGGTCAGCCTGGAAGGGTGATTCACCTGCTTGGGGTGGAGATGGGACAGGGGTGGTGGTGTTGCATCCATCTCATGTCACCCAAAATATCTTTGTGTGCACAGCCATAAATTAAGTAGTAAAATCCTGCTGTGACTTGGGGCACGTGCTGCCGTTGTTTTGGTAAGGATTGGCAGGTACAAACAGAGCTGAACTGCTGCAGTTCCTCAGGGAGATGAAGGCAGTGAATGTACTAACACCAGTACTTTGCCAAGGCAGAATGTTGGCCAAGCCACGTGTGGCTTTGGAGGGACCCAGAGCTTTTGGAAAGAGAAGAGAGTGGGAGAGGAGTCAACACAGTGTTTGATCAGTCATCTGTTATGAAATTAAAAAAGAACACAGGTATTTATGGGCTGAAGGGAATAAATTGCCATTTTTGGGAATTTTCATTTAAATTTAATCCTTCTCATTACTCAAATAGAGACGAGCTTGTGTTGTGCTCCTCCATTGCCCCAATCAGACTAAGGATTAGCTGGGTTTTCTTGAAAGCTACAAATACACTGGTGGGAAAAGAATAACTTCTCAACACCTTACTAAGTTATATATGATTGTGAAGAGTGGGCTTTGGGGAGCATTTTAATATTTGTAATGAACAGTTAACAGGAAATGTTTAATTCCTGCAAAGAACCTGCTGAAGTCTGTCAGAAACTATTAATTGCCACTTCTTGAAGTTGGGCACTGTGCTCTGACAAACACCACACATGTTTTTGTTGGACTTCGAGGTGGAAAGAGATTACTTTGAAGACTTTTCCAAGGTGGCCTTTGGATTTGGAGTGAGATACTCTTCATCAAGTCTTGGTTTCAGCAGCTGGGTGTACAATTCATCCTGGTTTCTGTTGGATTGTCATCAGTAGGGCCTGTGCTGTTATCAACAAGATAACTTAAGTTATTTTAGAGTTGCCTCTTGAACAGAAGGAAAACCTCACATGAATGCCAGCTGTAATAGGTGCAAAGCATCAATAAAATCATGGCTCATTTCCAGGTTTTTTTCCCCTCTAGAAAGGTGCTGCCAAGTTTGGGGATTTATTTACTGATTGAACTTGTGAATCAAAGCAGAAAGAGAGAAGAACCAAAAGGCAAAGTCGCTGGCTAGACCCTTTGCTTTAAACAAGGGTTTAAAACCTTTAACCTGAAAGGTTAAAGCTGATATTTTACTGTGCTTTTGTGTTTTCCTCTTGCACCAGCTTTTTGGAGACTGGGAATCTCACCTGCGAAGGATAATGAAGTTGATTGCTGGTGGAGGATTGTCCATCACCGGATCCCACAACATGTGTGGTGACTACCTGTACAGCGGCCACACCGTCATCCTCACCCTCACCTACCTGTTCATCAAAGAGTGTGAGTGCCTGGCTGTTCATTCCTTCCGAACTGAGGGAATTATTGTGCTCGTTGGTAAATGCAGTTAAAGTTAAAATACGTGCGTTTTCCAGGGTGAGAGGAAATGGTCTGAGGTTGTGCCGGGTGGGGTTAGGCTGGATATTAGGGAAACCCTTCACCACAAGGGTTGTAGTGGTTTGGGGTTGGTTTTTAGTTGGCACTAAAGCTCATTTAGTTCTACCCCCTGCCATGGGCAGGGGCACCTTCTACTAGCCCAGGTTGCTCCAACCTGGCCTTGGACACTTCCAGGGATGGGGCAGCCACAGCTTCTCTGGGCAACCTGTACCAGAGTCTCCCCACCCTCCCAAGGAAGAATTTTTTTCTAATATCTCATCTAAACACAAATTGATTAATTAGATTGGCCAGGGTATATTATATCTCCTTCCAAGATTTCATAACCTTTGTATTGTCCAAGGATCTCCTTCCCCTGACTGCAATTTTAAGCTACACCTTAGGAGAACGGGACTTATTTTGTGATCTCAGCATTCCTGCTCCTAATCTTCCTGCAGGATTGCAGTCCATGACCTCTGCTAATTACAGCACTAGTCTTGATAACGCTACACTTTGAAATAACTGCTGCTTGTGCTTCCTTGCAGATTCCCCACGGCGACTCTGGTGGTATCACTGGCTTTGCTGGGCACTCAGCATGGTTGGGATGTTCTGCATCCTCCTTGCTCATGACCACTACACTGTGGACGTGGTGGTGGCTTACTACATCACCACAAGGCTATTCTGGTGGTACCACACAATGGCCAACCAGCAAGTGAGTTCCTGCCACTCCTGGGGGGCTCTGCCTGCAGTGGGGTGGTGATGGGGAAATATCCAGTAGGAGTGAACCCACCCACATCCCGCCCTTGGGTTTGCAGGAAAGAAAGAGGCATCATTGGTTGGGTTCTTCTTGTGTCTTGACCACAGAGAGATGTGAAGGTCTACCCAAGGCCGGCAGGCCTCTGCTTTCCCCTGGATAAGCCTCAGTTTTTGAAATCCTTCTGAATTTGGGCCAGTTTGGTGTTAGCAGAGCAAACCATTTAGATGTGGTGGGGTTCTTTGCCTTGTTTTTTTGTTTGTCTATTGAGGCCAGCTGGGTTTTCCTTGTATTCTGTGGCTTGTGCCCTTTAGTTCGATGACAGGCCTCTTGAGGAATAGTATGAGAGCCTCACTAAAAATGAACCAGTTTTTTAAATGTGTCCAACTGGTGGGAAGTTCTCCTGGCCAAGGGAAGTGTTTTCCTTTTGGAGGGCAGTGCAGCTGAGAACAGGCTGCTTCTGACCTAAGGCCCATGACTGGGAAAATAGGGTGATGAGGGAAATACTGAGAAGAAGGAGCTGCTTAGGAGCAGACACAGCACTTGACGATTATACTCAGTCAGAGAGGAGCTGTGAAAGATTCATCAAAGGTTGAATTTAAATGATGTCTCATGTTATTGTCATTGGTTTTCCCTGCCAGTGAACTGGAGCAATAAGAGAGGAGCTTGCAGGGCTGAGGAATGTGAAACCTCCCCTGCTGTGTCAAGGGAGGATCTCAGGGAAAGGTTCTTCCCCCAGAGGGTGGTTGGCACTGACCAGGCTCCCCAGGGCAGTGGGCACAGCCCCAAGGCTGCCAGAGCTCCAGGAGGGTTTGGGACATGGTGAGATTGTTGGGGTGTCCTGTGCAGGGCCAGGAGTTGGAGTGGATGATCCCTCTGGATCCCATTCAGCTCAGGATACTGATTCTTTGAGAGAAGATTTACAAATCTCTGCCACAGGTAACAGACAGAGTGAGTTAAGAGAAGCTTTTAGGTCTTCTACAGCATATTGGTGTCCAAATATTTTCTGTGCACTTGGTGAAAGATTTTTTGCTTGTGTGTTGCACATGCCTCCAGTTAATTATGTTTGAGAAAGACCTACTGTGATGATAGGAAATGAGTTAATATTGTGACAGTCCAGAGTTTTAGATCATATCATGGAGTTATTATAGAATGACCTGGGTTGGAACAGACCTGCAAGATCATCTAGTTCCAGCCCCCCTGAAGACCTTCTAGCTACAACTCATTCATTGTTCCTCTGGTTTTGATGTTACTTGAAGCAATACACCACAGTCAAGCCCCGTGATATGTTTTTAGCTCAAAATGCCTAATTGCTGATTAGATGCACTTTGCTCAGTCAGTCTGGGAGCCACCCTGTCCAATAGCAGCCTGTGCTCAGACTCTGTACCTCTTGTCATACAGCACCAGATGGGCTTCCATGCTTTGAATCTGCTCCTGGGCTCTGTTAAAACAGTTGCTGGGTGGCCATGCTTCCAAGCTGGAAGTATTGGAGTCAGGATTGCCCTGAGTCCTAATGAGGACTTGCTTCAGCAAAGCCCTTTGCCTTACTGTGTGGAAACCTGCCTGTTGTGCTGCATGGTGTGATTCAGAAGGTGGCTCAACATTGCTTCCCTGAGCTGCCGAGATGTTGGGAAATGCCAGTCCCCGGATCCTTTCCTGAGCACACCTTTGTGTGCTCACCTCTCCTTCCTCATGTGCGCAGGGCTTTGGCTTCTGTCTGACCTTCAAGTTAAAAGCAGAAGTGGATTTATTTTACTTGTGAGCTTGACATGGAGATAGAGCTCAGTGTACAAGCCCAGTGCTTACACATTGCCGTGGGCAGGTTCAGTGATTCCCGGCTCTGGTGTTGAAAACATGCAGCAGGGTGGCTGGATAACTCCCTGGGGGCCTGCCCACTCCTTGTGTCTCAGCTGGGGCTTGCTCGTGGCTAAGAGAAGGAAAAGGGTGGGTGGGAGCAGTCTGGGAGCATGTGGAGGGCAGGGCAGGGCTCCTGACCTGCTCTGAGTGGGTTGAGGTGTGCCTTGCTCACTGCCTGGGAAGTTCCAAAGCCATTCGTGAGCTACATGGAATTTCAGAGATACTTATGGTAACAACTGTGCTTTGGGTTGGGTTTTTCATTCCCAAGGGAGACACTGATCTTTGGGCCGTTCATTTTTTTTTTCCCTGAGGGCCCACTGAACAACTGAGGTCTTGGAAACACCGGTGAACCTCACTTGGGTGTGTGCAGGGAGGCTGTGGAAGAGTAGCTTGGCTTCTCCTGATCTTTGTCTGCGCAGCTCTGTCTGGGAGGTGTTTCTGGGCGTGCTGGGAGCTGTTTGGAAGCAGCAGTGACGAACAGGACCGATGAAGCCGTGCGAGCGAGCGGTTCCTAATTCCTTCCTAACTCTCCCCTTTCTCATTCTCTCTCGGCGCAGGTGCTAAAAGAAGCTTCCCAAACTAACCTCCTCGCAAGGGTCTGGTGGTACAAGCCCTTCCAGTACTTTGAAAAGAATGTCCAAGGCATTGTACCTCGCTCCTACCACTGGCCCTTGCCCTGGCCGGCGCTGCGGCGGGGCCGGCCGGTGAAGTACAGCCGCCTGGCCAGCGACACGTGACGGCCAGTGCCGGGGAAAGGACCTGGCCCAAGTGCTCACAACTCCCTGAGAGAAGATGCCATAAGAAAAAAAAAATAATTATATAAAAAATCAACTGCTCCCTAACCCTCTCTTTTAACAGCTCCCCTCGACTCGACCCGTTCAGTTACCTGGTAAGCACTGTGATCTTTTTTTTCTCTCCAAAGGATCTCTGCGTTGGACAACAATAAAGAAAAATTTAACTTATCGTGCACTGTTACACATTTCTTGTTGATAGATTTTGGGATTTGCATTTGCCCATCGCCATGTTCCTTTGTATATGATGCGACAACATAAATGAAAGCTTTTATATCATAAGTTCTGGTCTTTCCAGTCACGTCTGGGAACAAAGCATATTATTTTCTTGGGAAAACATACTTTTCATATCTCTTGCCCCAAAGATTGGGCTGTAAGCCATTTTCTAGCAAATGACTATATGAAGGTTTCTAAATACCTGCCTTGGGTGAAATCAAGAAATCTTTCTACCTGTTGCACCACGCTACGAATAAGATGACAGACACAGAAAGGTTTGGTAATCCTGATTTTGTAGAATCTGCAGTGACTGACTGTGTCAAAAAGTGCAAAAAAAAAAAAAAAAAAAAAAAAAAAAAAAAAGAAAAAATGTAAAGTGATTTTCTAAGTATTTCCTAACTTTATTTTTCAAAACGTGTATGGAAAAAAAAAATTAAATTTAAAAAGATTTTTACATGTCAGAGAATAGAGAGTTAAAATTTAAAGAAAATGCTTCTTGGGAGAGAGAGATTTGTCTATGTTTCTAGTGCCTTTCTTGTCTTGATTGTATGGTCAGTAGGCAGTCTTAAATGTTTTTATTTAAAATAAAGTATTCCATGAAAGCAGAATTATATATACTATATAATTACTAATTTTTGCATTTATAGCTAAATTAAACTGGAAATTTACTTATAATGTTGAAATTGCCATGTGTAGGGAAAAAACCACCCCACCAAATAAAAAGGGTCCGATCTTGTTCACACATTGTGGGCAGGTCAAGCTAAAAAGTATCACTTTATTCTTGGTAGCTGGATTTTAACAAGTAAAACAGCCATGAATTCCTGTTTTTTAAGAATTTTACAAATGATCACTGAGTGAACTACGTATAGTTTCTCCATCCCCTTTTGCAGTGTTGTTGAAAAACAACAAAGATAATCTATTTCTTTAAAATATTTGTGCAGAAACTGCATGTAATTCTGAGTTTCACTCCTACCATACATACTGTATGTCTGGGGAAGTATCCTATCCTAAACTTGCCAATGTGCAGAACAAAAATAGTTTTTTTTTAAAAAAGAATGAAGAAGAGAAAAATATATATATAAATATATATATATCCATTCTGTATTTTACGTGAAGCAGAGTTATCTTCTGTAGGTTTTTTGTGTATTCACAAGGTGATATTTGTATTGTAAAACAACAATGGTGAAGGAAAATAAAAAGGCTTTTGAAACATGTAGTTTCCTTTATCTTTTTAATATTAAGTTGAAAATTTAAAGCTGGGTTTATTCTTCCAAACCTTGCCTTTAAGTTGATGTTATTGCACTGTAGGCCATCCAATTTGGACTGTATGGAAACTGCATTGATTTCGAATTGCTGTTGGGCAAAACAGTGCCTTATCTGAAATAAATGCTATGCAATCGATTCCGAGCGTGCGGGAGCGGGTTGGGAGGAGCCTTCCTGGGAGCCATCACCAGCCTTGAAAAATCTACCCCAGAACTGCTGGGACGGAGCCCAGGGCAGGGGGAGCATCGGCCACTGCCCCAGGGTCTGTCAGTCCTGGCGCTTGAACGCCAGAAAAAACCAAAACAAAAAAAAAGGAAAGAAAAGCAAATTTCTCTGAGTCCGTGGTGGTGAAAGTGTCATTTCTTTCTTCTTTTCTTTCTTTTTTGGGGATGGTTTATCTTGACTTTTCTGCCCTGTTCCTCAACCTTGACCAAAAACTTCCTTGAGGAGCTGATGGGGTGTTGCTTCTGCTGGTTGTGGCTTGGGATGCTAAACAAGACCAACCCCTTCCTTATCAGTTCTCTGTCTCCCTGGGTGGGAGGGGGTTTCTTGGCCAAACCCTTTGCAACAGCATTTCCAGAGCTGCCCGAATTTAGGGCTCAGCTCTGCATGCTTTGCCTTCAATTCACAGCTTTATCTTGGCAACTCTGGGATTAAAAGTCATTTTTCAAAGTGCCCAGCCCCACCCCGGGGTGATTTTTTTGAGGGAATTCCTGCTCCCAGACGGAAAGCGAGGAGTAGATTTTTCAAGGCCTGGCATCACGCACATCCAAACCATTGACATAAGTAAATGTATGGATATATATGCACATGACATTAAATGGAATCTGCTGAATCCTGCATTGTAGTGTCTGACTTACTGCATGGATGCTGCTCCACGTGGTCCCAGCTGTCCCACAGCAGTGCTTTGGTGTGCCGGGCGTGCTGCCTTGGGAGAGGAGTCTGGGTGAGCCGGGACAGGGAGCTCAGTGCTGTGGCCTTGTGCTGGAGGAGGGGACCTGGGGAATGCTGTGCCTTGGGGCTGATCCAGAGCTGTGCTGCCTTGTCCTTCTCCTTCCCAGGGCGGATCTGCTCGGCAGCACCATTTCTCCTCAGATGGGCGATGGCTTGTGATGGTGCTCCTTGTTAAGCATTGCAGTAATGACCTGGGACCCCAAATTTCCCACTTCAGCTGTATTTTTCCCCCCCCAAACCTCACAGGTATGGTCCATCTACAGTGATTTATGCCTGGTGTGTCCTTGCCCCAAAGCATGGGAGGTTTTTTGCTGACAGCTCTGCTCAAAAATGTTATCTCCTGCCATCGGGATCCTGCGTGCTGGTAAAAAAGGACTTTGGCCTTTATTTATTTAATAAACAGCATTGTATAGCAGGCCTTGTAATTGCTGTGAGGGCTATGGGGGCTGTCAGGATTATGTGGTCCTCCCAGGTCTTCGTTTTTTAAAAAAAGGAAATTTCAGTCCCTTCGTTACCCATCAGAAGGGTGTTTTTGTTTCAGAAACTTAGAGAGAAGGTCGTGGTCTCCTGTGCATTTATAAGGGAAGAGTTTCATTTTACCTGATCCCAATTTCCATGGCTTGCACAAAATGAGCTCTCCAAGAGACCAGGAAATGCTGGTTTTAAAGTGAAATGTGGATGCTGGAAGAAAGGGTCACTTTCCTGAAATGATCTGGTCTTGCTGCGGAGGGATGAGAAACTGAAAAATAAGGAGCAGAAAGGGAAGCAAATGCTTCATGGATTTACATTTCAGAGCCAGTTCCCTTAATTTATTTTTTTTCCTGGGGGATCTTAGATAGAGGGAGTTTGAATCCTCTTTCTTAACCATTTGGAAGCACAGTGTTTGCTGTATGAGGAAATGCACATTTGGCAGTCTGTGTTTACTGGTTTTCCTTCTCTCAGCTTTGCCTTGTTCCTTCAGTGGATCCATTGGTCCTGAGTGGCTTTAGACGTTTTTCTTGTTGAAAATGAAAATCCTGTGCTGTTTGCAGTCCCTGGTTGTGCCTGGGAAGGTCAGATTGGTGTTATGTGGTAGCAGGGATGGGTAGAAGCCATTTTTCAAAAGGATAAATATTTTAAAGAAAACATATCTTTAGTGTCTTTAAGCACAAAATGGCAAGGGAAGGAAGTTGGAGGGGTCTTGGGAAAGAGGATGATCTGTGGGAACCTTTAATCTTATGAGAAGGAAACTTGGCATGTTATGATGTCACACGAGCACAGACTGATGTCCAGGGCCAGGCTGTCCAGGCAGGGCAGGACAAGGACCTCAAGGAAGTAATTTTCTGAGGGTCTGCATGCATTTAACAACTGTGCCTGCTTTCAAATCCTGCATTTCCTCCCACCCCAGCATGGAGTATAATTTCAAGGATGCCCTGAGCCCTCCAACCATGGCTACTGTTTCTTCCCAAGCTGCAGTTTCCTTCCAGCCTGGATCTGTAGAGTTCTGATCTCAACCATCAGAGGTTAATGAGCAGGTCCCTGAGCATCCTGCCCCTGACAGGACAGCTTTTTCTTGGAAGTTTTATTTTCCAGGCTAGGTGCTCCAGTGTGGCTTCCTTGGGGTGAGCATCGTGCCTCTGGTGGGACTGCTGTCCTTCCTCATGGTGGCCAAGCTGGTGACTGTCACAGGGGGAAGACATGAGGTGCAGAAGTCAGGTGCATTTCCAGGACTTCTTTGGGGCATTTTGTTGCTCCTCACTAGGTTGACAGTGGCTCTGAGGAACCTGTTGTGCTGCTGTGTGATGATCTCTGTGTGCTCCACCTGGCACCATCTCGGTAATCCACCATCTCTGGAGGGAGCAGTTCACATTTCCCACAGGCAGAGGGATTTCCCAAGCCCTCAGCACTTCACCTGAGGTCTTTGCAGTGCCCAGAGTCCCTTTTCTGCACCCGAAGGCTTGTTGCTTCCTGCAGTCCTGAGCCAGGGCGTGTGGACATGGGCACCTCAGCCGGGGGAGATGGGGAGCTGTGGGTCCCCATAACCTCACGTAGCAGTCTTCTGAAAAGGAAAGCAATTTAAAATATTCCCCTCAAACATGTTGAGCTGTCACCAAGCTTCCTTTTCCTCCTCTGCCCCCACCAACAGGTGGTTTGTTCTCTCTGGAGTTACAGAGGCCTTTTCCTCAGCTCCCTGCAGTCCATGGGATGAGGCTGGCAGGACAACTCAGTTTCCTGGCTTTTCATGATCTAGCAAATGTATCACCAACGAGCCAATGCACAGCCTATTCCTGGCTCATCCCTGTGCCAGGACCTTTCCTGTGACAGCAGAGCAGCTGCTCCATGGTTTTGTCAAACAAGGCTCTTCACTTTCCTCCAAGGCCAGCGCAGATTTGGGATGCCCTTGTGACTCAGACATTCCCAGCAGCACAGTGGTGCCCAGGGATATCTGTCACCCCACATGGCAAAGCAGGTGGTTTCTCCACCGGTGTCAGGGGCAAGCAGGTTCCCTGGGAACTGCAGTGAGGAGATAAGGTATCAGTAAATCCCGTTTCTTCCAAGCAGCCAGTCCAAAAATCAGCGAGTCAAAGGGCAATACTGAACATGACCCTGGAGTGATGACACAGACCCTGTTCAGCACCAGCTGGAATGTTAACCCTTGGACTGGGGGTGCACGAGAGAAAAGGGGATGAAAGAGGAAAACTGAAACTCCTGAGTTGGGATGGAAAACGTCAGAGGTGATCCCAGCCTTGAATTCCCAAACAAAGTGCATGGATGCTGGAGGGAGAAAGGGGAATGGCTAGTTGGAGCTTTCCTCTCCCTTGCCACCACATCCGAGGGATGGGCTGGGTCCTGTAATATTTGGGAGGAGCAAACTGTCAAAACCCTTTGGATAAGGCATGCTTTAGCAGCTGGTGAATTTATCCAGACCTGTCTGGGACTTGAGGGGAAAACAGATGGAAAAAGCTTGGGTTTAACAAATTTAATAAATAAAAATATATTATTGTACACTTAAAATACAATCCTGCTCTCAAGTTCTTCTGGTAGAGTTTGGAAACCCTGAGGAGCAATCTTCTGTGAGGATTAGGAGTCATGGCCAGACTGGGAAGCAGCCCTCATTCCACAGGCTGTGGAATTCCATCAAGTGGTGATGAAGCAAAGAGGAGGAAAAGAGTCCTGTTCCCGAATTCCTTGTGCACCAGTGCTGATCAGTGCAATCCCAGGAAGGTTATTTTAGAGAGGCAGGTGCTGTCCCTAACTCAACATAAACACAGCAGGTAAAAAAATTCTCTCACCTCCCTGTGGGGTAGAAATTACTGATTGGTTTCTTCTTATCTTGTGCAGTGCTTGACTCACGGGGTTATACAACAACAATTTCCAAGCTCAACTTTTCAGCTTGGAGCAGGTCTGGAGCTGGGAGACGTTCCTCTGGCCACTGGAGCAGGTGAGGGAACTTGGGTAGGTTCGCACGAGATTCCACTGGGGTTCCATGGGATGAATGTTTATTTCTTTTGGTGTTATTTGGGTTGGATCAGTGGGATAATGAGCACTGTCACTGTGTGTGGTGCTGATGGGTTTGAGGCTGGTGCTGTGCGTGTCCAAGCCTGGCTACCAATGCCATGCTTGGAGAATTAAAACAGGAGGAAGGAAACCTGTAATATTAGCTTTGTTGCCACTAGAATATTTCCTGTGTGAAATCCAGCCCTGCTGACAACTGCTGTAGCTCACCAGGGCAAAAGAAGCTGATGAGAAAGGTCACCTAGAGCAAGTCTAGGTGACCTCTTGGCTCTCTGGTGATGTTGTTTCTCATTGCAACCTTCCCAAGCCCATAAATGCTCGTTTCAGCAGTTGTTTTCTGCAGGTCCCTTGTTTCCAGGGCACATTCCTATGGGGAATAACCTGAAGGCAGGAGCTTTCCCAAGCCCCCTGACAGACTCACCCTAAGGCAAATGTTACCTCCAGGAGAACCAGAGGCTCTGCCTCACTCTTCCCTTTCTAATCACAGGATCATCACAGAATC